ATTGCGAAGGCTGGAAATTTTGAAGCATTGTCCGATATTTTTTACGATAGAAGAGAGTAAAATTCGTTTGAAATATTAGTGGCTGCAGTAATAATATAAATAATGCAATAATAGTATGAACGAGTAATAATAATGTAATAATAATATAATAATAGTATAAATAAGTAATAATAATACAATAATAGTATGAATGAGTAATAATAATGTAATAATAATATAATAACAATATAAATATGTAATAATAATGCAATAATAGTATAAATGAGTAATAATAATGCAATAATAATATAAGTAAGTAATAACAATATAATAATAATATAAACAAGTAATAATAATGCAATAATAATACAAATAAATAATAATAATCCAACAATAATATAAATAAATAATAATAATAGCAAATTAACGTTCGATCACTCTCTAAAAACCTGCATAGCAACATTTCGCAGCATCCGCAACGTTCGAGCCCGGCTGGCGAAGCCGCTACAACAAAATCGAATCGAGAACTGTCTAAAATACGACGAACGATTTCCTGTCTGATTACTGTAATGGCTGTTCGATTATCGTGACGAGCGATCGTCGCGATAGTAGGTCGGGATTGTACATCGGTTGAATTAATAACGAGCGCGACTCGGCCCGCCAAATAAATCATAGAAGCAGCGGACGAAAGACGAATCGATGATCCAATGAAAGTTTGATCGACTAATCGCGGATGGAGAATATCGATCAACAGATTTACTGTTGCGGTCTCCGAGCGGAAAGCTGATTACGACTTTATCCGAGATCCGTCTCCGGATAGTTGAAACATCCCGTGCTATCTTTTTTACAATAAGCAGGAAATTTCGTTTCACTTTGATCGTCGCGGTGACACCGACGGCCCGATCTGTTTGATCTTGTTGCGATCGGAAGATAATTTATGGATCTGTGCTCGCTAATGGCATATCGCGGATGATGGAGATATAATGTATATGTGTGCACGTGTCAAGGTTAATAAATAATGATCCGTAGTGAAATGATAATGTTCCAAAGATTTCGAAAGGACGAAGGATTGAAATTGGGTGCAAATATTTCGGGTAATTTTCGGAGCTCGCGGACATTGTTCTAGGAACAATACATATATAATAATATAACATATTTTTATTATATTATTATTATATTATTATATAAAAAATATTATATATAATATAATATATATATTATATTATTATATCATATATTTACATATATTAGATGCAAATACTCCAGCTAGTTTTCTTTTATTTCTCTATATATTATATATTATAATAATATAATAAATATGTAATATATAAAATATAGAGAAATAAAAGAAAATTAGCTGGAGTATTTGCACCTAATATATATATATGTATAATAGAAAATATGTACTAGTAGATATTATGTAATTAATAGTAGATATTTCTAATAGTAGATATATTATGCAAGCGTGCAGTTGCAACGAAATCTCGAGATGCAATTAAATTCCAGCGTCTTAGAAAGGTATTCCAAAGGGATAAAATTTTCATTGCAATATCATCGATCAGAGATCGCATTTAAATCGTCAGCTTTCTTATGCATTCGCTATAAACTGCATTCAATTTGTCAGTCCGGCGTGCACTGATTGGAAACCCCGCGTATCAATTACCGGTCTCTCGTACGCATTCATTTATAAACTGCATTTAAGTTCTCAGTCTTGAGCGCGCATTAATTAGAAACCGCGGCGTCCGACTTATCGGTCTCTCGTTTTAATTGGAGGCTGCATTTTTTAAACTAGCCGCGTCGCGTACGAATTGATTATTACGAGCCTCGCATTTAGATCGTCAACGTTCGATTTCGTGTTCTCGCGAATAAAATGAAATTACAACCCCGTGGCACGGTTTCAGCTGCCACGGTTTTCGATGTGCGCGAACGAAAACACGGACAGAGTCGAATTTTCAACGCGATTTCAACGCGTCCGGTTAATTGAATGATAAAACGAGTTTCGACGAACATTGAATAGCGCGTCGCCGAACGGACTGCAAAAATATTTCAATGTCCGCCATTTTTTTTACCGACCGTGCATTTATGCGTGCACAAAATATGGATTTCCGAGCACGGTCGCATTTTCTCATTTCAGCCGTGGTAATATGATGTCCCGCGAATTTCGTCGCGCCTACGCCGACTCGATCGCGTTATTTCCCCGGACGGTCTTCTCTTTTCGACGAACTTTCGTCGTCTGGACAACAAATGCCGCAGCGTTCTGTACCGTCAAAAAATGATTAACGTTCCTAGAACAATGTTCTCGATCTAGGAAAATTAGCTGCAATATTTCAACCCCTTTTTCACCTAAATTCACCCAATTTCAACTCTTCATCTTTTCGAAATCTTTGACGCATCACTGGACTGCGAATCGTTATTTATTTATGGGCGTGTGCAGATTATTAAGATTCTAAGAGAACGTATAAATTGTGACAAGATTTAGTACACTTTTTATATTCATTTTGTAGCGAGCAACAAGTTGAAGGAGATTTAGCATGAAATCGAATTTTCGTAAAATGACATATCGCTGATATAATTTAATATTAGGACATTTTAAAAAAAGAACGTGATTTCAGAGATATTCAATTATTTCATACCAAATAGTACAATTCGGATAATGCAATGCTGACACATCTTTAAATATAAAAAAGCAATTAATTAATTTGCATCAAATAAATTCATCACCGAAGATCCAAATTATTATTTTCGAAAATAAAACTGTAAATACCTTTTTCTTCAAACTTCATTATTTAGACTTTCAACAATTCAACTTCGAATTAGAGCAGCGATATGAAAACGAGAATTTGCACAAAGCTCCGCCTAATGATCAAAATCAAGGCTGAGAATAATTAAGACGCGGGAACGCCGTGAGAAACTAAGGGGATGCTCACCCCTTCGATATTAAATTCAAGTAAAAAGCACACCCCCTTTCTCTACGAAGGATTAGAAATTATTATTATTACAATTTCCAATTTTTTTCATTAAATCGTTTCGCAACTCCGCTTGTTCGCCATTCGTTCTCCGCGTTTCCGCGCGATATCAGCCCGCGCCGGAAGCAGCGATTGCGCCGCGAACAACAACGGCGAAGGGCTCCGCTTCGCGAGCAATAATTCGCGCGGGGCGAAGAAGAAATTCCGCTTTAAACGGATTAGGCAACGTGAACCGCGGTCTTGGGAGCACTCGGCGTCACGAAGGGTCGAAATTTCGAGATTCCCGGGGAAACTCTACGGGAAAGGGTGCCCCTCCGCGCGGATCCGCCCGTTTCGCCGAATAATTCACGTTTCCGCGACCGCGGTATTTTCGCGTGCTCTCGCGCAGACGTGTCGCGGAGTTAATTTAGTTTCGGGTGGGTGGGAGTGAGCGAGAAGCGCGAGGGTGGAACACGATGTTACGCGGGAAAGTCAATTTTCGCGGGGCGGAGAACACGTAGCGGCTCGCGGGGAACGGAGGGTGCGAAGGCGGGGGAGGAGGAGTCTTTTCGCGAGTTCGCGAGCTGTCCCGAAGACAACGGAGGCTCGCGAGTAAGGAAGAAAACGCAGACGGCCGCGGTTCTATCCGCCGGCGAGCTACGAAAGGGAACAGATGGCCAACCGAGATAATCCTGGGATAATCCTAATCGACGGATTACTCTCCTCGGGCAGAAATCGGTCGTTCAACTCGCGCCGCGGGACCCCGATGGACGGCCACTTCCGACCCGTGAATTTCTCCGGCGTTCCTCCCGAACGCCGACATTTTCCTTTTGGGCTCGCGAGAAAATGCGCCGCGATGGTCGGAGGACGTATTCGCGGCGCTGAATTCTCCGTAATCCCGTGCTCGAGTTGCTCATCGATCTTTCGCATTGTACAGCGCGGCTTATTGTTTCGTATGCAGCTATTCGATTCGATGGGCGATTCTCCGATCGTTCGGGGAAATCCGTAAATGCGGGCAGCGTTCTACGAATTAGCGCGAGGTAAAAGCGAGATTACGAGGTGCTGCGGCTACGTACGCATTCATTTTTCTTGCTGATTATTTTAACAAGTTCGTGGGAACGTAACAGTGTTTGTTATTATGAAGTATTGTACTATTATATATTTATATAATTATATTATATATATTATATATATTCATATCATTATATCATATATACTTTATATAATTATATCATGTATGTTTTATATAATTATATATTCATATAATTATATCATGTATATTTTATATAATTATATATTCATATAATTATATCATGTATATTTTATATAATTATATATTCATATAATTATATCATGTATATTTTATATAATTACATATTCATATAATTATATCATATATATTTTATATAGTTATATAATTATGAAACAATGAACTGTATTTTACTTGAGTTTAATTTATTTATATTATTCTTAGACTGCGGATTTCATGCATTTATGGCAAAGTAGCTTCGATNAAGGAAAGTATAATAATTTAAAAATATTATCGTATCATCTTCGAGCCAATAAAATTGTTAAAACAAGAATTAACTTTTCATTTAGTTTCTATTTCTTGCAATCGACGCAGGCAATTTTTACTTTACAGAGAAATCCGCAGTCTGTTTATTCCATTCTATTTGATATTCTTGTATTTTATTTTCTTGTTTTATGTTATCTATTTTTATTTAATTACGTGATATGGATTCATTCATAACAAAAGTTTGTAAATCTTCTAAATGTCTCTTCACTGTTTCGCGAACAGTGAAATAATTCGAAAGGAACTAAAAACGTGTTACAGGAATCGTGTGTTGCATTGTAATATCTAAAGCCTCGATTTATAATTTAGAACAATATATTAAATGTTCGTGTATTCGGTATTTGGTCTGCAGCGTTTCTGTGCTTTACGGTTTCATATTTTTTAATCGTCGATTTCACCGGCAATTTATGGTAACAGAGCGGAGGCACGCGAATGTAACGAAGCAGGAAAAAGAATGATTGAATGAAAAATATAATTGAAATATGTAAAAGTGGGAGACTTACAATAGAAAAAGTCCACGATCTTCCTTCCTGAAAAAAGAGAAAATAATTGAATGAAAATGAAAGCATCACTCTCGCCTGTAATTTGCATAGCGTGTTAATATTTATATCATATATATTACCAAAAAATTTGTGATTAATATATAATTATATATAATAATATATACAATATATATTATAATATTTTTATATGTATATATAATTATATATAATACAATTCTAGTCAATATTTAATATAACCTAATCGAATCTAAGTTAACATTTGTCGTGAACTTAAATTCGTTAAATTCATTGTTACTTTCTTATCAATTTACATTATACTATCGAGGATTTGATTTCCCATCCAATAAGCAATAAATGAACAAATTAATTAACTCCAACCACACAGAGTTTGGTGCAACGTGACTGCATAAAATTCGAACCGTTTGCGAATTCGGTGCAACAAAGAGCATTTCGACGTTCTCGTCGAAAAATCGATCGTCGACGAAAAGTTCCTTCTCTCGAGAATATCGTTGATCAAGGATCTGCATAAAAAATCCGCGATCCAGTAACGATCATCGGGGAAATCTCTGGAAGGAATCTCGAGTGTTGTTAACGAAACGAAAGCCGTGGAATCGATGGACACTTAATAGGGCGTGTACTTTCGAGGCGGTCTGAAAACTTTCCTCCGGCTTTATCACAGCGTTGATTACGCGTCCTCTCGAATCACGCAATCCTATTTCCACGGGGTGTCGCAAGTATTTTCGGTATCAGATCAGATACTCGTCAGGACGCATTCAAGGAACCCTCTTTTAATCGTTCCCGCCGAGGAAACAGGCGAAAGCTTCAACCGAGTGGAAATCCAATAACAGATCCTACGACAGCGATAAATGCCGGCAACGTTTCCGCGCCGCTGTCGGGCCGCGTCGGGCCGCGTCGGGCCGCGCCGGTGCGACAACAACGTGCACGAAGAAAACGTCCGGGGAAATCGAGAAAATCGAAAAAACTCGAAGGCCCGTCGAACTTTTTCCCTTTTAAAAGCGTGCCTATTCAACCCGCGACAATTACTCCGCTCTCTCCTATCGCTTCGCCGTTCAAATTGTCCTTGATGCGACTCTCCAATCTATTCTCTCCGCTTGCAAATAAGTTCGTTCGATCGTTAAAAAAAGAAAAAAGAGGAAAGAGAAAGGAAAAGAACGAGATCGGACGAATTTACGAAACTGTGTTATTTTACAGCAGATTTCACGTGCCTCTATGAATCTGCGCGTGCTAATCCCCTAATCCTCGAACGTGTGCCGTGTTTTTCTTCTTTTTTTTTTTTACGGGTTACAGTAATTTCTCCCCGTAATTCGCGCTCAGATTGCGCACAAAAATGGACGATTTCGGCTCGTTTTTATCGTCGCCGACAATCGGTAACCGTAAAAAAGAGCCGCGAGGCTCGAACAATTGTGTCTCTTCTGTCCAAATTGTCCATTTTTGTTGTCCAATTTTCCGCGATGCAAAGAACGTCGGGAACCTCTTCGATTCCTTTAAAATAAACGAACGCTTTTACAGTCTTTTTTAACATTTCTTAACCCTTGGGCTTAACCAAAACTATTTATTTCCAGTTTATACACTGCCAAGACCAGTTTTTCAGGCGAAGAGAAATTTTGTACTGAAAACTTTTGTATCAAATATAGAGAAGAGATATTCATTTTTTAAATGAAACTTCGTCGATATATTTTCATCGAAACAATCGTGCCTATTCTTCCAATGTTTCCTGCCAGCTTTTACGGTTTTATTGATTTCTGCCGCGTGTATGGCGGCAGTGGACCGTTAAGGGTTAATATTCATATTTATTAATATAAATAATTTCACCCGTTACTCTGCAAAAGACAAAATAACACAGTAATGGACGCTCTCAAATGCGAAATTCTCCGCTCTAAAAACTGAGCGAGAAGCATCCGTGCTCCGGGAAAACGTGTAAAAGTCGAAAGCGCGCAAAAATCAAGCTCGAATGATTTTCTATTTTCCTGCGAAATTTTATTTTATTTTATTTTATTATTTTTCCTCGTCGAACTTCGGTTCTCCCGGCAAATTTCGAGACTCGAAACTTCCGGAAATCAAGACGACATAGAAAATTAACGCTGAAAACTACGAAATTCCTAACGGCGAAGGTCCGACACGGTCGAATGCGACCAGGCCGCGAAATACGTCTCTCGCGAGGAGAGTAATTGCGAACGCAATTTAAACGGTTTGTAGCAACAAGTCGGACTCGTCTACGAGAGGGAGGAGGGGAAAGAGAACCCTGACAGACAGGATCCTCGAAGGAATTCCGGGGTCGAGTCGAAGGGCGTCGCGTCGACGGCGGTTTTCCTCGGCGAAACAACGCGCGGAAAATTGGTTTGAGCGGGGACGAATCGGTTTGACGTCCGTCGAAACGGCCCGAAATTGGCGCCGGGAATTCCCCGCGCCCCGGCGCCGGGGTTCATTTGCTACGTGAGAGGCGTCGAAGACGAGGAAACGATTTATTATCGACAGGATACCCGTTATTCTCCGTCTGCGGTGGAACCGGGCCGAGCGTCCGTTGCCCGTCGCTCCAATTTTCCCGGCTGCGGCGCGGGGATCGATCGATCGATCGAACAGCGCCGTTTCGATCAGCGTAGACGGGAATCGCTTTATCTCTCGGCGCCCCCCGCGTTCCGCTTTTCTTTCGACTTAACTCGGCGGCAAGGCGATGTCGGGACCGGCTCGATATCGCCGCGACGGAGAACACTTGTTCGCGATACGGCTCGCATAGAGGGAAGGTCAGGGATTTCGTGGGGTCCACCCACTTCTGCGACCTCGAAAAACACAGTCTTTCCTTTTCATCCTCGGCGAACTCGCGTCTGCGGGTCACGACGGTCCGTTTTGCGCTCGACGCGCGCGCGCTACGATTTTCAGAACGCGAGCGGGCCGTGCATACAAACGAGACGTAACGCCGCGACCGTTGATATTTTTATCGGGATTCTCTGGTTACAAGATGCGGAAAATGGAGGGGAAATTGTCGGTGTTTCAGGCTGTTGTCGCGGTATCCATCGAAATTGCACAGCGATCTTTTTCCGAGCGCAGGTTTTTCTTAGGGGGTGGAAAAATGAGGAGAGAGATTGTTCGGATTCGAAAATTCCTGTGGGCCTTGGAAAATTTATCTCGCGCTTCGAATTGCCGTGGATTTGAAGATTGGACTCTCCTCTGTACGATGAGACCGATAAACTTGGTCTACGATTTTTTCTCGCCACTCTATCGCGTTTGGAACACGATCTATATCCTTGGCGTTAGATCCGGTGCTTCCTCCGTGGAGCTCTCGGATGAACAACCATAAACGGACGATGTAACATCGCTTCAGCGTGCTGAAAAAATTCGTGCGTACTTTACGAAGACCAATGCAAATGCCCCGGAAAGTATAAACTTTGCAGGATCGTTGCATCTCTTTTGAAAAATTCTCGAAACCGACGCGTATCGAGCAGGATCGTTTCTACGAACTGCGAACGAATTCACGCAGCACCCTATCATTTTTATTCAAATCGATTATTTCCCATATCAATTCCTGTGCAGATAAATTCTTGTTCTACTAAAATCTAGCTCTGATACATTTTTATCGGAGCCGTCCTATTTATTCCTAGCAACAATCTTCGGAACGGCTGACTCGTATCGGAAATTGAAAACTGCGATTTACTAGGTTCGCGTGAAAGAAGTGGCTGGTTACACCCCATTCAACCCCGTATTCTGTCTCCGACAGCGGGCGCGCGGATCATCCAAATGCTCGGTCGAGGTCGGGGTGGGAAGGGGAGGGGAGGGAGGGAAAAAAAGCAGAGAGGCGGTCGAAATAGTCGGATCTGGGTTTCAATTGCGGGATCGGTAAAAAGCGTTCCCTTTCGATCGTCGGACGGCCTTTCGAGCCTCCAGAAATTACTTCATCAGTCGGCTGGCAGTTCGCACGGACCGCAATACGTTGAACAAACGATCGGGCCCCGCCGGTTTTTTCGATTCTTTTCAGGAAACCGCGGTTATATATTCCGGACGCGGAGGGAGATAATTGGCTCCGCGGGCGAAACCCGATCGATCACCGTAACACCGGCGCGGAGCGACGCGCTTACGGGGGTTGCAGGGGTTCCCATAAGGCACCGGGTGGACCTGCGGTCTGGTTCCCGCGGGCCTATCCTAAGGGATACACGCGTTTCCCATTGTCCCCCGTTTCGACTCGACGATCCTTATTTTATATTCATTATACACTTTATTTATATTTTTTTACATATATACATTCTTTTATATTATTCTATATTTATTTCATATTTATTGTGCATTTGTTTTATATTTCATTCTATATATTATTTTATATTATTCTATATTTATTATATATTCGTTCTACATTTTATTATATACATATTATTCTATATTGACTATATATTCGTTTTACATTTTATTATACATATTATTCTACATTGATTATATATTCGTTTTACATTTTAGTATATATATTATTTTATAGTTATTATATATTTTATTTATACTTCATTACATATATTATTTTATATTTATTTGACATTTACTATATATTTTATCATATATATTATCATATATATTATATTATATTTATTATATATTTCATTCATACTCGATTAGATAAATGTTAAATACAAACGAAATACATAACAAATGATAAAATAAGGANTATATTATTCTATATTTATTATATATTCGTTTTACATTTCATTACATATATTATTCTATATTTATTATATATTCGTTTTACATTTTATTACATATATTATTCTATATTTATTATATATATATTATTTTATATTTATTTGACATTTACTATATATTTTATCATATATATTATCATATATATTATATTATATTTATTATATATTTCATTCATACTCGATTAGATAAATGTTAAATACAAACGAAATACATAACAAATGATAAAATAAGGATAATTATACGATTACATAAATATATTAGCGTTACAATAAACGATGTTAAACAAAGAATTCGTACAAAGAATTCTTAATAAAAAAATTCCGATT